CTTGTTTGTTTGTACTGTTTGGTTTTTCAAGACAGGGTTTCTCTGTGGCTTTTGGAACCTGTCCTGGAACTTGCTCTGTAGACCAGGCTGGCCTCGAACTCACTGAGATCTGCCTGTCTCTGGCTCCCAAAGTGCTGGGATTAAAGACATGTGCCATCACTGCCCTACTAGAACATACTTTTCTGATACTACACAGGCTGTACCAAACTTCTGGTCCCAGGTATTCTTCCTCTTCCTGCTTCAGCCCTCCAAGTAGCTGGGATTGTGGTCATCTACCACTCTGCCCCCAGCCTGTGACCTTTGTGTGCCTCTGCATGCCCACAGTTGCTCACACTTATGCATTTTATTTTCTTCAACTAGCTGAGAGTAATTGTTGCCTCCTTAACCCGTAATACTTGTGTTTTTCCTAAACAAAACAAAACAAAACCCCAAACAAACAATACTGTTGCTCATCCCTAGCAAGTATAGTGATTAGAGTCAGGGAGTTAAAAACAATGAACACGGCCAGGCAGTGGTGGGACAGCCAGGACTGTTACACAGAGAAACCCTGACTTGCAAAACCAAAAAAAAAAAAAAAGAAAAAAGAAACACTAAAAGAAAAAAAGAGTATATTCTAGAACTCTCTAATGGATTAACAATCTATTATTCTAAAACTTTTCTCAAAATAAAGATTAATCAGAATCTAGCATTTATACTCTCGGGTTTCCAGATTTTCACAATATGTTTTTAGAGAGTTGCTACATGATGCGACATTTTCATTTGTAAAAAGATGTCTGTATAGACTTTTCTTTTTCTGCTCTGGATTTCTGTAGCAACAAAAGAAAGGGCTTGTCTACTAGATGCTGCTAGGAGCCAAGCTCCTCCCAAGGCGTGCACATAACACCTCAGCTAGGGAATGCAGCATCCAATGCCACTTCTAGCTGCACCTGTCCTTTCCAAACCAGGCACTGCTGGCCCTATGTAACTCTTTAGTAACCAACCCTTTGTGCAGGAACCCACACAGAAGGGACACGGGGTAACTAAGCAGAGTCCAGGACACTCAGAGCAGGCAACAATCAGGCAAAGTCTCACCACATGACTCCATCAGCCCCACACACCAATTAACCTCCCACTAACTCAGTGGCTCTGATCTCCACTCTCTCAGCCCCTCTAAGAATGTGGAAAAAGTGATACTTCTAGGTCCCCTAAATGACACTTACATGCTTGAACATCATCATGAGCTAAGAAACTAAAAAAAGAAAACTAAAGAAGCCAGAGTTCCTCTGAAAAAGATTCCCTCTGGTTTCCTGCTGGATCCCAGCACTCGGGGGCAGTGGCAGGGAATCTCTGAGTTCAAGGCCAGCCTGGTCTACAGAGTGAGTTCCAGGACAGCCAGGCCTACACAGAGAAACTCTGTCTCAAAAAAAAAAAAAAAAAAGTAAAAGAAAAAAAAGACTCCCTGGGCCAAAAGATCAAAGATCAAGTGGGATTTGTTTCTTTATCAAGATAAGGACTAAGGGAACACACAGTGTGAATGTATGTGTGTTGCTTGTATGTCTGTGCTGTTAGTATGTGTGGGGGTGGTAGTGTTAGGGACTGCCAGGATCTTCCACACTCTGGGCACAAGTTCTATCACTATTTCCCCAGCTTAGAATGTGCCCTTAAGACTCTGGTATTGGTTTTCCTCCAGTAAGGAGGAGGAGGAGAAATACATAAACAACTATATATGTACATCAGTTATATAGTACGCGAGGAGTGCCTCAAAACAACTTCCAAGCCAGCTTAGTCAGGGCAGCCTGCAGAGCTGTTCATTTCACTCCCCAGCCAGCTGCTTCTACCTCCTTTGGGTGAGGCTCAAACATGTCACAGACAAGAATGAGGGCCAAGCCTGCCAACAGCTGCACTTCTGTGCTGTTCTTCCAGGAAGTCTCTTGCCACTAGACACTGATTTCAACTGAATGAAGACATCTGTGCTCCAAGGGTGCTACCAAGTTCCCCGCAGTGCTCACTAACATCTGGGTTCACCACATGGGAAACATGTTCATCACTGTAGTCTAAAAGGTGCCAAAAGGCCACAGACTCATCTTTCAACCATTTCTAAATCAGCAGCAACACTGAGACATAATCCATATATGACTTATCCATCCAAAGTAGGTTTTGGTATGTGCTAATTTAAGGTGATGACTATCATAATTTCTGAACATTTTTATCACCCATAACTCTGTGCCCACTGGTAGTCACTCTCCCCCCAACCTGAGAGCCCCAGCCCTAGACAACCACTCATCTATCTGCCTCTGTGGATCTGACCACATTTCATAGGGATGGGCTTCTTGATTGGCTTCTTTCTTGTAACCAAGCCACCCATATTGGAACCCACAGCACTACTTATTGCTGAGTATTTCAGCTGATGAACATCTGAGGTGTGTCTGTTTCAGCTGCTGGAACATCTGTGTACAAACGTTTCTGTAAATGCCTTTATTTCTCTTGGCTATACATACACAAGTGATTCACAGGATAAGAGCAGGGTATGTGGGTTCCAAATGACATCACATCCTTTCAACATGTACATTCTTCACTTGCATTCTAGTGGCTGTGAGGTTTTCATCTGTGTTTCTCAAAAAGTTAATGATGTAGAGCATCTTTTCATGTTTAGTGACCATTTATTTATCTTCTTCAGATAAACACCTATGTAGATCCTCTGTCTATTATTTTATTAGCTTGTCCTTAAGTTACAAGTTATTTATTTGATAATTCTCTATATATTTTAGAAATGAGTCTTTAGTAAGATTTGCATGTCTTTTCTCCCATCCTACAGATTTCACTTTCTTGTGTGCTCTCAGTGCTGGCCAGGGCCTTACACACATGAGGCAAATACTCTCCTGAGCTCCAGCATCAGCCCTCCTCCTGATAGTGTGCTCTGAAGCACATGTTATTTCCTTAAAAAATTAATTTTAGATTTATTTTACGTGTCTAAGTGTCTTCCCTGCTGGTATGTCTGCCACCATATGCATGCCAACAGAGGTCAGAAGAGGGCATGAGATCTGTACAAATGGAGGTATGGACAGTTGTGAACCACCATGTAGATACTGGGAACTGAACCTGTGCCCTTTGCAAGAAACCTGGTGCTCTTAACTGCTGAGCCATCTCTCCAGGACCAAGTTAACACTTCTCATGAAGCCCAGTTTGTCTGTGCTTTCTTTTATCATTTCTGGTTTTTTTAAAATATTTATTTATTTATTATGTATACAATATTCTGTCTGTGTGTGTGTCTGCAAGACAGAAGAGGGCACCAGACCTCATTACAGATGGTTGTGAGCCACCATGTGGTTGCTGGGAATTGGAACTCAGGACCTTTGGAAGAGCAGGCAATGCTCTTAACCACTGAGCCATCTCTCCAGCCCTCATTTCTGCTTTTGTTATCATATTTAAGAAGCCAAAATAATGGAAGTGGAGTTTTTGGAGTCAGATCTATAACACCAACAAGCTTTACAAACTTTCCTCTGTACTTCAGTTTCTTACACATAAAGCAAGATAGTAATAGCTGTAACAAAGAGTTGCTACAACTAAATCATACATGTGAAACAATGCTGGCACCCTTGTGCATAAGAGTAAACCACACTGTTGACAAAACACATTTGATTTTTATCCTCTGAGACGCGGAAGACAATTTTCTACATTCTCTGAACTGAATAGAAGCTCAAAGAACTGAAATCACATATTATGAAATTATCTAATATTTCTTCTTTCAATAAAGAAATCAACAAACAGGAAGACAATGGGTAGGTGAAGGGATAGCACCAAAATTAAAGGAAAGCCTCTGAATGGGTAGACCCTACGATGGTTGCTACCTTATTTATTCATTGGTAAAGATGGGTCACACTGTGATTGCTTTGGTCTGACCTACAGACCAGTTGCCAACCACTTGGGCACACAGTCTCAGTGTGGCTAATGTGCCTAAGAGGGAAGAGAATGAACAGTCAAGAATGCAGCTCCCAAAATGTGCAGCATAACAAGGCTGCCGGCTGCTTTTCTATTTCCTTACACTCCCTGTCCTCTCTCAGAGTGCATTACTAGAAGCTTTCCCTCATCATGGGACATGGCTCCTTGCCCTGCAGACCCCAGTGTAAATGTTATTTCCTGGAGGAAGGATTTACAGCCACACTACTGCCTCATCATGCTTTGATGAGTCTACTGTGTCCTCTCAAAGTGCCCAGAGTCTCCACCAATCTCCACACTGCAGAGCACAGAGAATATGCTGATCTTGCCAATTCCCAGGCCCTGGCATCTAACAAAGGTGTGATGTACCTGGAACAAAAAAGAGCCCAGAGGAACAAGGAAGCACAACTCTATACCAACTATAGAAGGTTATTCACCTAACACAGGTCTCACTTTCCAGCCCCTCTAAAGTGAGCAGGGAAATTCTAACCGTCACACCTGAGTGTGGCATATATAGTGGTCACTGTACACATCTTAAACTTTTCCTGATAAACTTTTGGGGGAAAATAAGTGATCTCCATCTCCCATTTCCAACCCTGCCTTCTGTAGGGTGCCCAGTAACAACTTGTCATTTTTCTACCATCTGATGGCAATGCCACAGGACCCGTGGCCGAAGAAGCTAAAGATGCTGGAAAGGGTGAGCAAGTGGCCCAAGAGTCCACGGTAATGGTTAAAAGTCCCGGGCACTCATCTTTTCCCTCACTCTGGTCCTAAAGTAGGAGCTAAGATACCACCAGCCACACGTGCTCAACCCAGTGGCTACCTTATGGGAATGAGTGAATGTTGCAGGCACTATAGAAAAAGCACCCAGAGTGATGTCACTCCTGAAGGACTGCTGAGATCACAAACAGTTCTCGCAGGGGAAAAAAAAATACTGCCAAGGACATTAACTGTGGAAGGTCAACAGATGGGGCCTCACTGCTCCCCGTGCCCTCCTGCACACTGCTCCTGAGGGAAGAACTGTGAGATGAGCGTGGCTGCCCTAAGCTCTGACACTCGCCATTACCTCTTGCTGCTTCTCCTCATTGGGATAGGTGTCTACAAACACTCCCAGCCCCACAAATTTGTCCATGTTTCCAAACACAGGCCCTAGAGAGAGAGAACAGATGATGAACAATGATGTAAAGCCAAGAGTTGACAAAGGAATAACATCTTATATGACAGAGGAAACAGTGATATGCAAATGACTCTTAAGTATTTCCTAAGATGAGCACACACACATACAAGCAAGCACCAGCAAAGTGCATGACCTACAACTGGGCCCACTGAGCAGCTGTAGTTGTTTGCTGCTGAGAGCAGAAAAGAGGGAAGGCCACTGTAACCTTGTTTGGTACTGTAGTAGCTCCTGATCCAAACTGGTTGCTAAGACACCCCTACCTACAGAATTCTGCTTCACAAACACTCGGTAAAGATTATGCCCCCAAGAGAGAACTGAATTCCCAAGTTCTAGTTCTTGTTGCAAGAGATCAGGTCAAATCAGGTTTAGCCTGTCATCCACTTGGAGCACTGACTCTAACAACAGCAAAGAAAAGAGAATTCATTTCTTAACTCAAGTGTTGAGATTGTTGAGTGTTTATGTCCAGAAGAAACCAGCTCACCGGCCTCCAGTGTTCATGAGAGCCAGTGCATTTGGCCAGGGAAACACAGAAGAAACCAACAAGCAAGAAATCATCACAGGATAAGCCAAGTTCAGATTGCTTAGGACTCAAAATCCCATGTCAGAGACTCAATGAGTTACTGTTCATTTACAGACATCAAGGGAGAGAGAAACTAGAAGGGCCCTTCTCAAAAAGAGGACACAGGAATAAACAAGCCTGATACACCCACAGGGGAGCAACCCAGGGTCCCTAATACCTGGCTGCATTCGATCCTTTGTGTACCAGATTGCCAAGCCATCTCCGTGCAGATTCTTCTTCCCTTGTCCGTGGATCTTGAAGTGCACCTGCAGTTCCCAGTCTTTCAGGAAACATGGCTAACATGAGGAAGACAGAAGTGTAAGGGAGGAGCATGAAAGCTGAAGTCCATAAAGCTCTCAGCAGCCATCTACAGACATGGAAAGCAGCTTTGGTAACAAGCTAGAGTTAAAATGAAGTCTAAGACTCTGGAAGTACTCCTGTCAGAAAACCAAACAGACTGAGCCATTTCATCTGGTTAAGGCGCTGCGTAGAAAAGGTAAATAAACCAACTAATCTTCCTCACATCTTCCAGCAGAAACAGGACAGACCAGGCAATCTGGCAAAGGCACCTCAGTCTGCCACTATCTACATCTACCTAGAAGCGCCTCTCAGCTGACTGGGGAAAGAGGGCTGACTTAATACTTGTTTGCCACTGAAGATTATTCCTCTGACAAAAACACTCTAAAAAGTTGGGCTTCAAAGAAAGGTCAAAGCCTTGTTCATTTAAGAAAAAAAAAAGAGTAAGAAAAGCTAAGTCTACACAGAGGTTTCCCGAGCTAATTAGCAGATGCGATGAAGAACTCTAATTAGCTAACTCTGGCATTTGGCCAATTTGAGGGGCAAGCTTGAGTTCCCAAGAGAACAAATAGTAAGCTACAATCCCCTAAACCTTTGTGCCCACAACTGGGAAGCATAAACGTGGCCGAGGCAAACACCATCCCCTTCCACTGGGACAGCCTCTTGGGGGTGGGGGAACACTAAGGAGATGGGTGTCACTCAGACTTCTGTCCAGTTTTAGAATTGTGTACCAAAAAACAGAGACAGCGGTGAGTGGCTGGCTAAGTGTTCAACACGGCTAGTGTTTTCAGGAGACACCAGGGTGAGCACAGTCTTTGGTTTGGGGAGGCATCGAATTAAAGTCTGCTATGAAGAAAGAAGGGAAGGGGTCAGCTGGGTTTGGCCAGGTTCAGCCAAAGGCTTTCCAAAAGCCTGTTCTGGGTCTTGAGCAACACATTGCTTGATCATTTTCAGTGTTTTGTTTGTTTGTTTTTAATTTCTGGGACATCATCCAAAAGAATTAGCATTAGGAATACAGAGTCAAAATGAAAAGAGGTTGGACACTTTTTCACAGCAGGGTGCCCTGATATCTCCAATAGTCTGCCCTAGTCTGTCTTTTCATTTTGGGTTATCTCTGCTTCATTTAGCTTTCAGGGAAAGAAAGATTTCAGTGGCAGAAAGCTATCCTGCAGCCAGAGGCAGCACAATAGTCCTGGGAAGAAGGCAGGGCCAGAGAAGCAAGTCAGGACGTAATTGCCGCTAATTCTTGGCCTTGGGTATCACAGCTATATAGTTTTGCTCAGGGTGATGTTTAACCATGGCTCTGAAACTTTGCTGCATGTTTGAAAACCCCAATGACCTAGCCAATCGTGGTGTTCACGCCTTTAATTCCAGCACTGGGGGGGGGGGGAGCAGAGGCAGGAGGATCTCTGAATTCAAGGTCAGCCTGGTCTACAGAGCCAATTCCAGGATAGTTAGGGCTATACAGAGAAACCTTGGTGGGGAGGGGGAGGGAGCAAGCAAACCAATGACCAAATTGTACCCTATTCCAATTAAATCTGAGGTGGCATCCATGCATTAAGTCCAGTGGACAGTCAAATCTGAGAACCACTGGGCTGGAGAAATCGCTCAGCGGTTAAGAGCATTGGCTGTTCATCCAAAGGACCCAGGATAATTCCTAGCATTTACATGGCAGCTCACAACTGTCTGTAACTCACATTCCAGGGGGATTTGACACCCTCACACCAATGCACATAACATTAAATAAATTTTAAATAAAATTGAGAACCACTTGCACAAACTATGTATCCTACTCAAATAGCTCAAAAATAATTCCTGATTCATTCTGCTGAGAATATAGGTATTAGAAAATCTTATAGATTAAGGTATTAATCCTTGTCCACAAATTAGTAACTCATGAGAGCCCATCAATGCAACTGAGGGCAGGTCTGATAATAACATATATTTCTGTTACTGTTTAACAAACTCTGCACAGTCTTTTCATGCCCACAGCCTGAACTCAGACAGGCAAGTTAAACAGTGAGGACATAGAAAACTGAGAGGCTAAGCGACCTGCCCGGGACTCATGGTGGTTGGGTAACCAAACTGGATTTAGAATCCAAGTCAGTCAACTGATTCTTGCGTCTTCTGCCATGCCCCCTACGGAGCTCCACATTACAATCTAGGTTACAGGCTAGCCTGTGCAGACAGCTCGCAGAACAAGTGCTCTTGGCCCTCTGGTCCTTTAGAACTCTCGGTTAGAGAGAAATGAACAGGGAAAAGAAAGTCCTCTTTTATGAGACCCACTCACACCATCCACAGCTGACGAGAAAAACCATGTGTGTAGTAAGATTTCTTCCCCCTCATTTATAGGAGCCCAGGAGAAAATATCAACGGATGCCAAAGTCATCCCGAAAAGTAACGTGGGCGTGAATGTTTAGGAAGGACCTGGAAAACAAAAGGATCATCTTACACTTGCACAGCATCACCGTGCAGCTACGCCAGGTGCTCATCTCGGCATCATACCTCAAAGAAGACAAGGTAGCTAGAAAAGGCCCCGAGGACAAGCAAAATGACTAGAATAGATCAAAGTGGTTCTCACACTAAACAGAAACGTAAACTCTGGACTGAAAGAAGGGAAGGCTACTAGGATTAAGTTTGGGATATATGCATTTTTAATGCTTATTAGCATTTATTTCTCTAGTCATAGTGTCCCACCATGTTGCCCAGGCTGAGACTGAATTTCTGGGCTTAACTGACTCCCCTGCCTTAGCCCCCCAAGTAACTAGAACTCCAGGTGCATAGCCCCATATCCAGAGTCTAGCAGCTGACTCAGAAGGATCACAGATTTGAAGCCAGCCTGGACTATTACCAAGTTCAAGGACAGCCTGGGTTACACTTCAAGAAGCAAACAACAAAAACAGTAACAGCAATGAAACAATAGGTTTTTTTGTTTTATAAAGTAACTAAATAAGATTTAAGCTATTAAACCCCAAAACATGGTATGTTAGACCAATGAGAAAATTAATTATTTGCTCTAACAATAGGGCAACAGAGAAATATCTGATTTCTTTATTATAAAGTTCATCATTATCTCTGAACTAAAGACTTTTGCTTGTTTTTTTAAAATGATTTATTTATTTTTATTTTACGTGCATTGGTGCTTTGCCTGCATGTGTATCTTTGTGCGTGTTGGATGCCCTGGAATTGGGTGTTACAGACACTTGTACACTGCGAGTGCTGGGATTTGAACCTGGGTCCTCTGGAAGAGCAGACAGTGCTCTTAACCGCTGAGCCATCTCTCCAGTCCTCTAAAGAATTTATTATCTTTAGAAGATGGAATTCTGGGAAAAGATGGTAAATGAAGTAAACTCCAAGTCATTTCTGAGTTTCTTTAGGACAGTCAGGGTCCTAACACAGGAAGCCTCTTACCACCCGATTCCACAAGGCACCCTGTTTACTTTGCATATCTGGAGTGAGGCGGATATACTGGGTCATCACCATGGCATTGCCCATCAGGTTCCACAGCGAAGAACTGCTTGTTCCCACACCTATGGGAGGGAATATATCAGCTCATATTCTTCATCATCAGTCACAAAGCCACCACATTCCTACCAAAGTTGCCGCCGTTCTCCTTTTCCTTTAGTATTAACAAATAAACATTTTATTTTTGAAATAGGATCTTAATATGTTGCCTGGGCTGATCTCAAATTTCTAGACTCAAGCAATCCTTCTGCCTCAGCTGCCTGAATTACTGGGACCACAGGTACTTGGCATCACACCCTTCTCCTTCGGGTGAACCCAACACACCCCAGAGCTGTCATTTGTGAGTGACACAGTAACCATAGTTCAGATCTATTCTTTCCGTTTTATGTGGGGGCGAACTTCAGCACCGTGGGAAAGGACAAGAGTTTTCTCACTTATACCAAAAGAGATTGACCCTCAAATGCCTGTGGGCTTCATCATATTCTTTTACAATCAAGTCTCTCAAATGTGAAGCTGAATCTTCCTCCAAGTCTCTCGGACTAAGTATCTCCAGGTTCAAAACCAGTCTAACCCATAGCATCAGCAGGGACCAATGCTAAGGAGGTACTTGATACACCTGCTACATGAACGACCTCTGAGCAATAGCGTGTGGCTTTCTGCGGTTTGGATCTTGTTTTCCGCACCCCCTATCCGCAGTTCTATGGGGCAAACAAACTCGTATTAAGCTCTCTGAACTCATTGTTCTTCTCTGTAGACACCTGTGTCGATTTTCTGGCGTTGAAGCTGTGCTCAGAGACCTAGAAGTCCCTACAGAGAGCAAAGCTAACCACCCTCTTTCATCATCAGAGCTCGCGGCCTGGGAAGGAGCAGGTGTTCTAAACAGCAAACAGACTTATTTTCTCCTTTCTCACTCGGACCAAGTTCTACCCGGCTTCTTTCTTCTGCTTTAGTTCTAGATCAGCCACCTCTCTCTCCATCCCGACACTGGCGCATCGCTATCGGTCCTCAACCATCCATCCCTCACTATTCTCAGTTCTCCCTCCTTCTCATACTTCTGTCCAACTCCAAACTCGTTCCTCTGAGCCTGACAACTAGTGACATCTGAAAGCCCTGCCTAGACCTACCAGAAACTTCCAGCACTCGGGAAGGGACGGGGGGGGGGGGGGGGGGGGGGGGGGGGGGGCGGACCCGGTCCTTCGGACCTGTGGCTCATCATAGGAGCGGGGATCTTCGGGGGCGCCCCCTCCCGCTGGTGGCAGCGTCTCCGGGGCTACCTGACCTGCGTCGCCGAGCTCAGTCCCCGCGCCCTCCCCTGCGCGACCACCTCGCCCCGGGCGCCTCACCCTGGTAGGGCTTCGACAGCGAGTGCTCCCGTTTCAAGTACTCCACCGCTTGGCCCGCCCTGACGTGCCACGGCCCCTGCACAGACCCCAACAAAAGGAGAAGGAGCAATAGCCTGGCCCCGTCCCGAGCCCACGCGCGCAGCCGCCACCGCCGCCACCAGGAGGGTCTCACAGCCGCCGCCATCTTTCCCACCGCCGGCCCTTCATCAAAAAGCCCGCCCCGTTGCCCAACCCATTGGCCTGCAGAACTACCGGCCCGACCTCCCATTGGTTCCTGGAGAGTCCCCGCCCCCGCAGGTGAGTATCTCACCGATTGGCTGTCTGGTAGCAGTTGCCTTGCCAACCCTGGCAAGGGGCGTTGCCGAAGGTCCAGACCCCCCCCTTTTTTTTTTTTTTGCCTTTGTCCTAGGCTTCACCAGGCCTGCTAGTTAACATAGTGATTCTTACTTTGTTTCTGCGTTCTGTGGTAATTTAAAGCAATAAAACATTTTTTTTTCCGATCCCAAGTAAATGTTCTATCGTCACTGCTATTTACATTTACCCGACTGCCAAGCTATCAGTTAGGAAGACAGAAACGAAGGGAGCAATAGGCAAATCCGTTGGTAAAGGACCTGGCCTAAAATGTGGGGAACCGTTCGGTAATCCCAGCACTCTGGAAACTGAGGCAGGAAGATGGGGAGTTCAAAGTCAACACAGTGAGGTAAAGAGCAACCTCAGTGATTCATTAAAATGAAACAGCTGCAAGAGAAACAAAAAAGAGAAAGCTGGCAAATTATAAAATGTATATAAAAGACAATAAACAAGCACTATCAAGCAACATCACCAAATGATATTTATAGAAATGAAATGTTTGTCAAACTGTGAGGAGAGATTGAAAACACGCAATCCTTTCCTTCTTTTATAGCTTCTTTCAAGTGTATCCAACATGGTTTCATCATCTTGTTATTAATCAGTTTGCCTTCATCTACAGGAAGGAGACTGGGCACATAAAGTTCCCTGCCATCTGGCCTGACCCTCCCCTACAGCCAAACTGCCCGCAGAGCCCTTATTTCACCAACAACTTCCAGCCTCTTCCCCTGCTCGCTCACTTCCTACTCTTTCAGAAACTGGCTTCCTCTTACCTACTTCCTCCTGGAGGCTTTTGTTGATTCCCTCGGGACGGAGCGTGTGTGCTTCTCTGAATTCTGAATACGCTCTAGGGACATCTGCAAAGGACTTATCAGATCTGCCTTTATATCTTCCCAATAGACATAGTCGAAGTTGACGCTCTCCTGAACATGAATAACCAGAAACATAACATGAGTTTGCTTCAGGGAAGAGCAGCTTTTACCAGTGATAAAATACAAACTCCACCCAAAACAGATGCGTGGTGACATACACAGTTAATCTGTTTATGTCCATACCTTGACTGTAAAGCCCTTCATGACCCACAATGGCCGTAGGATAAAATCCAGTCTCCCTAGTGTGGCATTCAAAGCCCTTCACAACCAGATCAGATCAGCGTGTACACAGGTCTATTATGATGGGTGTCGCTGGAATGATGTAACTCGGTTAATAGATTATGCGTTTTTCTCTTGCAAGGAATGCAGCTAATGAGCTACAGGAAGCAGTTCTTACTCACTTCCTACACCAGGTCCCACCCACTTCCCCACTCCCTAGCCTTTATCACCAATACAGAGTATAAGGGTTCTAATGGTTTGGAAGAACTATTTCCACTGTATTCCTCTGTCAGCTACATTGCTTGCATTGTGCTTAAATAATAAAATTTAACCTTTAATTACTTTTATTTACTTCTTCGGCTATCCCATTGTCTTGGGTTTTCGCCCTTCCTTGTGGAACTGTGGATTAAACCCAGACCTTGTACATGCTAGGTAAATGTTCTGCCATTAAGCTATAGCTCCGGCCCTATTTATTTATTTATTTTTGTGCACTATAGAGGAATTCAATGAAGAATTTCATGTATATTAGGCAAGTACTATACCACTGAGCTATGCCCCCCCCAACCTCCTTTCCCTTTAAGACAGGGTCTCCTTTGTAGCCCAGGCTGCTGTGGAACTCACTTGGTAGCCTAAGGAGGGAGGAGAGGCTTAGAACTCCTGATCCTAGTTCCTCAGCCTCCCAAGTGCTAAAATGACAATGTGAACCATCAGGCCTGGCTCCAGCTCCCCATTTCTAAGTACACCATATACAGCAGGGCTTAGTAATATGAACCCATGTTACATAGCTGTCAGCCAGATTTCTGATAAATGTTCATCACCAGATTCTCATTGTAAGGTGATGGGAGAATAAGGCAAATGAGCAGGCAAGGTGGATTTGCCAGCCAGGAAACCAGATGGTTTTCTTCAGACTATCACAATAGGGAGACTGCCCATTAACGATGAAGATATCTAAAAGGAATGGAACCCGAGGTTCTAGGGAGCAGATAAGCAAGGTGGTCATCACGAGAAGGATGAAGGGAGAATGTCTCATCAGGATTACTCTGGAAGGATTAGGCAGTGGCTCACACCTGTACCTAATACTCAAGAAGCTGAGGCAAGAGAATTGCTACAGCTTTGAGGCCAGTCTAATTCATGTAGCAATTACCAGGCCAGCCAGAGCTATACAGGAATATCCTATCTGGAAAAAATATATACACACATATATGTTTATGTATATAAAAATACACACACATATACATACAGAGAGAGAGAGAGTCTGGTTTAGAGGTATGTAACTTTTATTTCAGCACTTGGTAGACAAATGCAGTTGGATCTTTGTCTAGCTTACATAGTGGTTCCAGGCCAGCTGGCGTTCTAGTGAGACCCTGTCTCAAAAATCATTGTTGTCATCATCATTATTCAATAAAGAAGTGGGTTTTACTTTAGACTATTCTAGAGAAAGACAATTATTTAAAAACATTCATTTCTCTGAACAGGAAATGGTGAGGGGACACAGAAAAGCTGCCTTCCAGAAGAACGGCCCGGTCAATCAGCAAGATCAAAGTGCTGAGCTGTAAAGAGAAAGAAGAAAAGCTGTGATCTCCTCCCCACATGACCCTACTCACCAAGTGCCTTCTGAAAGATGGGTCAGGGGTTAACCTGCCACCCTTTCTGCTGTCAGACATTCCCGTGATCTGGGGCTGCCTAACTCCAGGGCAGGCGGCATCTGTAAAATGCCTGTTGTGCATCCCATCGGCTCTGCGGACGGTGGTGCCTCTGCTTTGTCATTCTCTTTTCTTTCTTTCTGGTTTTCAGAGACAGGGTTTCTCTGTGTAAACCCTGGCTGTTAAGGAATTTGCTTTGCTAACCAGCCTGGCCTCAAACTCAAAGATCGCTCTGCCTCTGCCTCCCTAGTGCTGGGATTAAAGGTGTGTACCACTGCACCTGGTTGGAAAAAGTGTTTCTGAGTCCCCTAGTTGGGTCTCCTTATAACTTTATTCAAGTCAAACCTGGTCTTCTAATAAGTTCATGAGGACTCCCAACATTCTCGCTGTCTTAGCCGTTTCCGTTTCTCAATAGAAATCAAGAACCTGTCGTTTAAGAACCCTGGCTCTACAGAGGTCCTGGCTTGGGTTCCCAGCCCTTCCATGGTGTCACAACTGTCTGTAGCTACAGTTCCAGAGGATCTGATGCTCTTGTCTTATCTTCAAGGGCACTGCACACATGTGGCACACAGATACAGGCAGGCAAAACAGCCACACACATAAAATAAAAAAATAAATCTTTAAAAATAGAAGTTCTGGACATAATGATAATGATGCATGCCTGTAATCCTGGCACTCAGGAATGTGAGGCAGAAGGAATGCCTCATATTGAGGCCAGCCTTGGCCTTGACAGCCAAGCAAGATCTAAGACCTTGTCTCAAAACGCTTTTTTTTTCCTTTTCTTTTCTTTCTTTCATTTTGGTTGTTTTTTTTTTTTTTTTCATTTTGGTTTTTTGAGACAGGGTTTCTCTGTGTAGCTTTGGAATTTGTCCTAATACACTCTGTAGCCCAGGCTGGCCTCAAATTCACTGAGAACCACCTGCCTCTCCTCCCAGGTGCTGGAATTAAAGACATGTACCAGCACTGCCCAGCTCAAAACTCTTTTTAATTAAAAAAGAAAGAAAAACTAATTAAGAGCCAGATGTGGTGACATTTACCTATAATCCCAGAAATATGGGTATAAGAATAGCTGGACTCAAACCTGGCTTGGGCTGTGGTGCAAAACTCTGTCAAAAAAAGAAAAGGATGGGCTGGAGAGATGGCTCAGTCGTTAAGAGTATTGCCTGCTCTTCCAAAGGTTCTGAGTTCAATTCCCAGCAACCACATGGTGGCTCACAACCATCTGTAATGAGGTCTGGTGCCCTCTTCTGGCATGCAGACATACACACAGAAAGAATATTGTATACATAATAAATAAATATTAAAAAGAAAAAGAAAAGGATGAGCCAAATGTGGTGGTACACACCTTTAATTCCTCAGAGGCGGGAGGCAGAGGCAGGCAGGTCTCTGTGAGTTCGAGGGCAGCCTGGTCTATATAGTTAGTTCCAAGACAGTCAGAGCTGCCTCAAAAAACAAAAATAATAATAATAAAAGAGAGATGAAGATGTATCTTAGTGGCGGAGGGCTTGTCTAACAGACACAAGGCCCTGGATTCAGTTTTCAGCATACACACACACATACTAACACATGCACACATACATGCATGCACACACATGTAGAGGGCAGAGAAGAAGAGAACGAGGAGGATGAGGAAGAGAAGGGGGCAAGGAGAAGATTGTAGCTCAAGGGTAGAGCATTTGTCTAACATGCTTGAAACCTTGCCCTAATTTAAAAACTCAGTCTGTGTTTATGACTTCATTGCTTTACTTAGTCAAAGGTGAACTCATCAAAATCAAAGTCCTGATGACCAGGCCTCTCAGATCTGTGGCAGCTGTGCCAAGAGGCAGAGCTCCCACGAATTAGGGCCTTCTCTAGCACCCAGATGTCCCCTTGCTACAGAGTCAAGGCTTATGATTGACAAGCATTTGCAGAATGGGGCAAGGAGGAGAGCTCTGTCATATGCAAGTTGGAATTAAATGTCTTTTTTATATTTCCTTCTTTCTCTTAGGGGTAGTGTTTGAGACATGGTTTCTCTATATAATAGCTCTGCTATCCTGGAACTCTCTCTGTAGACCAAGCTGGCCTCAAACTCACAGAGATGCTCCTGCCTCTGCCTCCCAAGTGCTGGGATTAAAGACA